TCCGGCCCAAAAAAGTACCACATCTTCTCCAGTCATGCTCTCTGTGTTTTAGGGTCAGGGTTAGTAGAAACATCGGGTTCGAGTCTTGGTGTGTGCAGTGTAAGCGCCCATATTTACAGCTTCGATAATTCCATCTATCTATCGCTTGCATGGCCAACCTCTGGGTCTGCTTCTATTATGTCTAAGTGACAGGACTTTCTCTCGTGGACTATCTTGGGTTAGTCTTGACATATGTCCAAACCATTTTATCTGTTGTCTCTTCATTTCGTATAACGGTGGTTTTGTCCCAAAATATTTTCTGGTATCGTCAATTCTATTCCCGTCTCTTCTGGTTACACTTAGGAATCTTGGTAGACATGTAATTTCTCTTTTTTCAATTTTTATTTAGTTTTAATAACCACGTTTGGCACTGGTAGAACAATGTTTGTAGAAAAAAAATACTGTTGGAAAAAAATGTATTACGTAAAGGCAGTAAAGACAGCACAAAGTCGTGAGACTGATGACTTCAGGACACATGGCTAGTGCAGTCACCACGACTTGTGGAGGCTAGGAATTGTATTCTGTCCCGGATAGAGAAAAAAAAATCTTCATCCCTTATCAAGGATCGAACTCGATTCTCTAGCATGAGATCCCAGCGTTTTAACCACCGGGGTTTATTCACTTTAAGTATCCGAACCCACCCCCTCTGGACTACGTAACCTAGTTGTGGTTGTAAAACATAAATGGCCTGTTGAGGTCTTTACGGAGTCGGATTTTTTATTTTTCTAATATCTTCTTTTTCTTCTTCGTGTTCACCAGCTGTAAACTCTGGTGGAAAGTTCTGGTTGTTCATCCACTTTTGGACTGCAGTCCTGTTCCAGAACCTGAGTGTTTTACAGATCTGACTCATTTGTATGCAGACTGCTGGTCACTTGTCTATCAGACAGATGTACTCCGACTTCGAAGGAAGCTCCCAATTAGTCGACTCTTACGACATGCTTTTGGGTAGGCAGTGGGTCTATTCTTGTTTTCCCATAAAAGTAGGGCCCCGAAACCCACACGATGATTTTTAAATATGATCTTGGCTCTCAGGGCGACACAGTCTTAAATGGGTAACAGGCAGAGTCCTGGGAAGTTAAGATTTCATGTTAACCACGTCACCCACAGAGTGCCCATTAGCTTATAAAATATTGGTTCAGCCCTATATGCCCACTGCTCCCTTACTTCCACAACACAACTGTGCTATATGGCTCTAAGGTTGAACAGGGTTTAGGGCATTTGTACCCGTAATTCTCGTCCTTCAGATGTTAAAACTGGCAGAATACAGATATGGTAGGGTAGACAACAACAACAACAACAACAACAACAAAACCAGCCAAACACGTTTTACAGTAACCGCGGATGAATCACAGAATGAGAGCCCAAAGCCTTAGGATTAAATACAACATCAAATACTAATCGGCTAAGTCCAAGAAATAAAGTTCCCAGTGAAAGTCCAGAAATGTATCAAATAGCAGAGAATGTTTTCTTACAGGTTTCTCATGTTACCAGAGATGGCTTAACTGAATCCAACCAGGACAGAGGTTTGGGGGAAATTCAAGTATGGGGGCAAACATTTGTAGCTACATAAATCTACTCAATGGAAAGATTAATAGTAAACTGAAAGAAATACACTGTACGGAAGCTTCACAGCTCGCTGACTAGCAGAAGTACGGTAACGGTTTGTAGTGTTGCCGCTGTTTAGTTGGTGGTACGTCTACGTCTGCATTAATAAGCGGTCGTCTTCACAATGAAGGTTAGCTGCAGTGGTTGTCTCACACTGTTTCTTGTCTTGGTCTTGGTAGCCCACTCTCCGTGACTGCTGTTCATCCATATTTCGATGCTATATTCCTAGCTGTATGTGTGATCCCCCTTGCTGTTTTGTCTTTTTGTTTGTTATATTTCCTTATTATATCCATAGCATGCATTATTGATAAAAGGCATTGATACTCTGACAAATAAGTGCTTAGACGGGTTGAACATCACACGGGCCTGCGTGCCCAATTTGTAACCCTTTGAAAATAAAGTTTGTTCGTTCGTTGGTCTTTGAACTCTCCCTTCAGTATGGCTCTTTAAAAAAGTGTTTCTTTTCGGGTTTTTTTTTTTTTTTTTACAATTTCTTTTAATAACTCTCTTTTCATTAAAGAATTCCCAGTCCCTATAGAACCTCTTTATTTGATCGCTCCTTTGTCCTAGAAATACGACCTATTGTTCTGTATGTCCAATTTCTAGATACTCAGTTCGGTTCTCTAGCTGCTTGTTCGAAACGAGAACAATATAACTAGAATGACTTTGGACTGGAACCCACAGGGACACATAAATAATGGCGCACACACACACACACACACACACACACACACACACACACACACACACACACACACACGGAGAATGGAGATAGAGATTAAAGTTAAAAGATAGCTGAATGCAATAGTAGAAGATAGAAAGACGGCATGAGAGGGATAGAAGGCGGGAGAAGAAAAGAGTTGCTTGTTCATGGTCCAGCGTTCTGCACCATTCAAGAGGGTTAAAGTATATTTTAACACTTGACCATTCCCATTTTTAAAGAAAGATGCTGATGTATGAGACAGATTTCAATCCTGGTGTGTAAAGAGAATTAGATGCTTTTCGTTTTATTTTGCCTTATCTCAGAGACTAAGAGATATCGCGGGGAGTTCCCGGGAAAGTACGATAACATAAGGGGGGGGGGGGGGAGTTGAGCGTGTTGTGGTTAGGGTTTTGTCTTAGTCGGTGTTCATTTGACACCCTTATACTGTTGGACTTTCCCGGAAACTTTCCTCGAAATCTCGGAGTCCCCGAGATGGCGTGAAATAAAATGAAAAGAATCGAAAATTAATTATTGAGGAAAGGACTGTAGTAGACTCCGCCAGAGACTGTGTCAGTGACGAAAGGAAGAGTAAGAGTGAGCGAGAGAAAGAGAGAAAGAGAGAGAGAGAGAGAGAGAGAGAGAGAGAGAGAGAGAGAGAGAGAGAGAGAGAGAGAGAGAGAGAATTCATGGATTTACCGAAACTTTTCCCTTATAATATGTCTTCCAGGGGATTTAAACCTCACACTTTAACATAAAGATCCATGTCATGCATCTACACCACATCAATCCTCCAACAATCCAGCTAATCCCCCACATTCACGCCACAGTCTGCCTTCCACCATGGTCACACCACTCCCCTGCCCACTCTTCATTCAATAATGTCAAACAAGCTGACGCCACCACGACCTTGCGCTCTCTACTGCCGTGAGCAGGCATAATGATCTGATATATTCATCAAACCTCGAGTCTGCGCAGACAAAAAGACAACAGCAGTCGAGGGGCAGGTTCCCCCGAAGCGTGAATGAACCGATTATGAAAAAAAAAAGTGTCCTAATTAAAAAAAAAAAAAAAACAACTGACAAACCCCAGCCCGGAGGTGCTCGTTTCCGGTTGGCTGGATTAGCATAACTGATTAACAGTGCTTTCATCTGTACGGATATCTGATTTGTTAGATCCTGTATATGTATATTGTAAACTGATTTCTAATCTTCCTGTCAGGAGCGCCGAGGGCAAGAAAACAAAGTATGGAGCAGGGGATTTGGGGCGCTTAGCCCTATAAACATTTTTCTAAAGGGTGGGGGGGGGCAGGGGGGGGGGGGGGGCAAGGGCCTTAAATTAGCTTAAAGCAGCTAAATCGTGTAGGTGTGTATCATCAACACCATCATGAGCTCTGCCAACTGGCGTAGTTCCACAGATCACGATCCCTGGTTGAATGGAACAGCTCTCTTTATGATATCCCTCCATGCCATCGTTTCAGCCCATCCAGAATCGTCTCTCTTGGTCTGCCTCTACCCCTTTTTCCACTGATCTTTCCAGTTGTCACGATGTTCTCCATGTCTCTCTTCTCATTGTGTTGCCAACAGTGTTTGTCTCTTTCTTATTGATGTATATGGAGATTTACTTTCAATAGCTTCTTTCAAGCAATTGTTGTTAGTTACTCTGGCCGTCCAAGGTATTCGTAACATTCGTCTCAGAAACCACATCTCTGTTGCTTCCAGATTCTTTATAATTTGTTCACTGACATTCTAAGATTCGCCGCCTTTCAGAAGAGCAGGTTCTATGTAACATTTCTATCACCCTCTTTGTATGTATATATATATATAAACACACACACAAAAAAGATAACTTAAATGTACTACTGGAAGTGGGCAGCATCTTAGCCTCGTTATTAATTTGTGTGTTTGTGTGAGGTTGGGGTTGGCTATGCGTCTGGGCTCCAGAGTAAGTGGCTTTTCGTGGTTGTCTGGGAGTGTTGTTGGAGGCTTCTTGTGGTTTGTAGCTTCTCGTTGTTGTTGGAGCTTGCTGTTGTTGGGGGCTTGTTGTTGTTGTTGTTGGAGCTTGCTGTTGATGGGTGCTTGTTGTTGTTGGAGCTTGCTGTTGTTGGGGGCTTGTTGTTGTTGTTGTTGGAGCTTGCTGTTGTTGGGGGCTTGTTGTTGTTGTTGTTGGAGCTTGCTGTTGATGGGTGCTTGTTGTTGTTGGAGCTTGCTGTTGATGGGTGCTTGTTGTTGTTGGAGCTTGCTGTTGATGGGTGCTTGTTGTTGTTGGAGCTTGCTGTTGATGGGTGCTTGTTGTTGTTGGAGCTTGCTGTTGTTGGGGGCTTGTTGTTGTTGTTGTTGGAGCTTGCTGTTGTTGGGGGCTTGTTGTTGTTGTTGTTGGAGCTTGCTGTTGTTGGGTGCTTGTTGTTGTTGGAGCTTGCTGTTGTTGGGGGCTTGTTGTTGTTGTTGTTGGAGCTTGCTGTTGTTGGGTGCTTGTTGTTGTTGGAGCTTGCTGTTGTTGGGTGCTTGTTGTTGTTGGAGCTTGCTGTTGTTGGGGGCTTGTTGTTGTTGTTGTTGGAGCTTGCTGTTGTTGGGTGCTTGTTGTTGTTGGAGCTTGCTGTTGTTGGGGGAGGCTTATTGTTAAGGTTAAAGGCTTGTTGTTATTGATGGAATCTTGCTGTTGTTGTTGTTGTTGGAGCTTGCTGTTGTTGGGAGCTTGTTGTTGTTGTTGTTGGAGCTTGCTGTTGTTGGGTGCTTGTTGTTGTTGGAGCTTGCTGTTGTTGGGTGCTTGTTGTTGTTGGAGCTTGCTGTTGTTGGGGGCTTGTTGTTGTTGTTGTTGGAGCTTGCTGTTGTTGGGTGCTTGTTGTTGTTGGAGCTTGCTGTTGTTGGGGGAGGCTTATTGTTAAGGTTAAAGGCTTGTTGTTATTGATGGAATCTTGCTGTTGTTGTTGTTGTTGGAGCTTGCTGTTGTTGGGGGCTTGTTGTTGTTGTTGTTGTTGGAGCTTGCTGTTGTTGGGTGCTTGTTGTTGTTGGAGCTTGCTGTTGTTGGGTGCTTGTTGTTGTTGGAGCTTGCTGTTGTTGGGGGCTTGTTGTTGTTGTTGTTGGAGCTTGCTGTTGTTGGGTGCTTGTTGTTGTTGGAGCTTGCTGTTGTTGGGGGAGGCTTATTGTTAAGGTTAAAGGCTTGTTGTTATTGATGGAATCTTGCTGTTGTTGTTGTTGGAGCTTGTTGTTTATTATAGAGGCTTGTTGGTTTTGATGGAATCTTGATGTTGATGTTGTTGGAGGCTTGTTGTTTTTGCCGGAGGCTTGCTGTTGTTGGGGGCTTGCTGTTTATTATAGAGGCTTGTTGGTTTTGATGTAATCTTGCTGTTGTTTTTGTTGGAGACTTGCTGTTGTTGGAGGCTTGTTGTTTTTGCCGGAGACTTGCTTTTATTGTTCAAAAAACGAAAAAAGGTAAGGTTTTCTGAAGACCTGAACCCACGACCTTCCGATCCGTAGGAGAGCATCTAACCGCTACACGACAGTGGCTCCCTTGGTAAACATTTGAAATCACAAATATGTGTCAACATGGTCGGCTTCAGAGCTTGCAGCCATTGCCTTTGGAGCCAGCATATCTCTATGATCAAGGAATTTGACTGAGGCGACTTAGGGATTTTCCGAAATCGAATGTTTTGGGCCGACAGGCGGAAGACAGGACAAGACGAACATAGTATCAGATTGCGAAACTGGAACTCTGTGCTTATGAGAATGTCCACTTATGGGAATGTCCGTTTATGGGAATGTCCGTTTTGCGGGAATGTCTACTTATGGGAATATCCACTAATGGGAATGTCCGCTTATTGGATGTCGATTTATTGGAATGTCCACTTATGGGAATGTCCGATTGTGGGAATGTGCGCTTCTGGAAATATCCGCTTATAGGAGTGTCCGCTTATGGGAATGTCCGCTTATATGAATGTCTGCTTATAGAATGTCAGCTTGTAGGAATGTCCGATTATGTCAATGACCACTTATGGGAATACCCACTTACGGGAATGTCCATTTATGGGAATATCTACTAATGGGAATGTCGGCGTATGGAAATGTCCATTTATGGTAAAGTCCGCTTATGATAATGTCAGTGCTTTGTTAATATCTTACACCAAACAGGGGACATCCAGAGGTCACAAGACAGTCTAATATTTCAGGGAGTGGTAGACAGGCTGCATGCAATCGTGGGACCTAGGCTGCACTTTCTCGTGGGACGTAGGTGGCTTGGGGTTAGGCCAAGTTCTAGATGTTTTGGGGTCGTTAAAAGCATCAGAAAGCCAGGAAACTCAGTCTTACCACCCTCTAAAATGTTGGAATGTCTTGTGACGTCATCTGGGGGTAGGATATTATTAAAGAACCACAATGTCTGCTTATGGGAATTTCCCGAGTGCTGTTATGTCTGTTTTCAACTCAACACATTTTAGTTTTAATTTCAAGACGCAAAAACGAAATTAAAGTGCGCACTTGGTTCAAAAGTCCATGACACTGAAACTGGAAATGCATATGCCTCTCAGCGTTTGGCTACAATTTCGTTGATGGTTTTAATGTTCAGTCAACTACTAAAGCCACAGGCAATGTAAAATGTTGGGCGTTAATCCTTCTGCGTCAAGGTGAGGTAGGATTTACAGTGTTGACTGGCTTGGCTGGTCCATAGGCTTAACGAAGAGCTAAGATAGGGATGTATGGAAAGATGATGATGAAGTGGTTTACGTCAGTGTTTCTTAAAAATTGTTTAGCCACTGCGCCTTTTTTCCTTTACAATTTTTTCAACGTTGCCCTAGCCTAAGTAAAAGCATGACAATTCGTATATAATAAACAAACAAGAAAACAATAAAACTCGTGTATCTTTGAATATTTCACGGCTCACCTGTGAAGAGGTCGGGGCTCCCCGGGGCGCCGCGGCACACAGTTTAGGAATCACTGGTTTACGCGACTAGGAAAGAATTTGTTTATCAATTCATTCAGACCAACAGTAGATGGCCTTGGATATGAAAGCTGTTGTTGTATTTTACAGTGTAACAAAAATGACAAGTAGATATTTGAATTTCACGGAGAACATTGTGAGGGAAAACAAAAAAGGTTCAATGTATCCCCCGCAAGCATGTCGTAGAAGTCGATTAATTGCGGGCATCCTTCGAAGTTGGAGTACATCTACTTGACAGGCAAGGAACCAGGAGTCTTCATATAAATCAGCCAGATGTGTGAAAGATGTGCGCGCGACACTCCGTTTCTGGAACAAGACTAAAGTCGGGAGGTGGACAAGCACACAGAACTTTCCGCCAAAGCCTACAGTAGTGAGGTGGACAAGCACACAGAACTTTCCGCCGAAGCCTACAGTAGTGAGGTGGACAAACGCCCAGAACTTTCCGCCGAAGCCTACAGTAGTAGGGATGCAATTGACACTTCTCTCAGTCAAGCACCAAAGCCCACACTCCTCCCCTCCCTCCTTCAGTTCACACCCTCCCCCTTTCCGCCCCAGCCAGGACTGTTGTAGAGCTATTCTTCCTTTACACAGGCTTCAAAATCCACAGTGTACAACAAGGATACTGAAGCTTTCTATTTCTAACTACGATGATGATGATGTTGAGGACAACTACGATGATGATGATGATGTTGAGGACAACTGCGATGATGATGATTATAATGACGACGACTATGATAATGATGATGATGTTGAGGACAACTACGATGATGATGATGTTGAGGACAACTACGATGATGATTATGATGCTGACGACAACTGCAATGATGATGATGATAATGACGACGACTACGAAGATGATGATGATGACAACTACGATGATAATGATGTTGAGGACAACTACGATGATGATGAGGATGTTGAGGACAACTACGATGATGATGATGATGCTAACGACAACTACGATGATGATGATGATAATGACGACGACTACGAAGATGATGATGATGACAACTACGATGATAATGATGTTGAGGACAACTACGATGATGATGAGGATGTTGAGGACAACTACGATAATGATTATGATGCTGACGACAACTTCGATGATGATGATGATAACGACGACGACTACGAAGATGATGATGATGACAACTACGATGATGATGATGTTGAGGACAACTACGATGATGATGAGGATGTTGAGGACAACTACTATGATGATTATGATGCTGACGACTACTACGATGATGATGATGATAATGACGACGACTACGAAGATGATGATGATGACAACTACGATGATAATGATGTTGAGGACAACTACGATGATGATGATGATGTTGAGGACAACTACGATGATGATTATGATGTTGAAAACAACTACTATGACGAAGATGATTATGTTTTTGAGGACACCTACGATGATGAAGATGGTGACAACTATGATGATGACGACAACTACGATGATGATGACGATATTAAGGACAACTACGGTGATGAGGATGAGGATGACGATGTTAAGGACAACTACGATGATTAGGGTGATGACGATATTAAGGACAACTACGATGATTAGGATGATGACGATATTAAAGACAACTACGATGATTAGGATGATGACGATATTAAGGACAACTACGATGATTAGGATGATGACGATATTAAGGACAACTACGATGATTAGGATGATGACGATATTAAGGACAACTACGATGATTAGGATGATGACGATATTAAGGACAACTACGATGATTAGGATGATGACGATGTTAAGGACAACTACGATGATTAGGATGATGACGATATTAAGGACAACTACGATGATTAGGATGATGACGATATTAAGGACAACTACGATGATTAGGATGATGACGATATTAAGGACAACTACGATGATTAGGATGATGACGATATTAAGGACAACTACGATGATCAGGATGATGACGATATTAAGGACAACTACGATGATTAGGATGATGACGATATTAAGGACAACTACGATGATGATGATAATGATGACGATGTTGAGGACAACTACAGTGATGATTGTAAGCAAACCAGAGGTTCTAGAACAACTCAATAGTCCAGAAGTGGACGAACAACCAGAACTTTACGCCGGATTTTACAGCCAGTAAACGCGAAGAAAAATGGAGACTTTAAACAGTCTACTTCCCTTCATGTACTTGTGCATAAAAGTTCGTGTACAAGGTCGTGTCTGTGTACACAAGAATGTGTCTAGCAGTTCGTGTCTGTTTAAGAAAGTTACCAGCCTAATGACATATAAATGAGCCGTGTCTCTCCAGGTTCCCACACACCATATCGCGCGCTAGAAATATGGAGCAGTGTGTCAGTAGGTCAGGGCGCCATTGTATGGAGCATGTTCTGACGTAAGAGATTGCAGAACCACACTAACCGATTTATTTTAGGAACTCCGATCAGCCGCTCGTCCGACATATATAAAATTGGAATAGTGGAGAACGCGTACAGACAGACAGACATACAGACAGACAGACAGACAGACAGACAGACAGACAGACAGACAGACAGACAGACAGACAGACAGACAGACAGACAGACAGACAGACAGACAGACAGACAGACAGACAGACAGACAGACAGACAGACAGACAGACAGACAGACAGACAGGACAGACAGATGGGAAACTGTTACAGCTAGCTTCTTCTTCTTCTTCTTCTTCGCGTTCACCAGCTGTACACTCTGGTGAAAAGTTCTGGTTGTTCGTCCACTTCTGAACTGCAGTCCTGCTCCAGAACCTGAGTGTTGCGTGTGCATCAGTTTTGCAGATCTTATTCACTTGAATGCAGGCTGTTTGTTCCTTGCCTCTCAGGCAGATGCACTCCGACTTCAAAGGAAGTTACAGCTAGCTATAG